ATATTGTTCATGGGCAAAATCTAATTTTGCCATATAATCATATATAAGAAATAAATATTCTACTATGCTATTAAGTAATAAAGAGATTATAAAAGATATTTAACAAGTATTTACTAATAACATAAGCAGAATTTGTTACACAAGAGCCTATAGAGTATCTGCTAAAGAATTTAGAAGTTGCATTCCACAAGGCCTGATGGTTTTCAAATTTGATAATATGTATCAACTATAGGAACAACTCTTAAAGCATTTATTGAGTAGTATAAAATAATAAGTTCATATACTGTATACTATAAATTGTGTAAGTAGACAATAGAAATATAAAAAGAAACCTAATGATGGTTAACATATTAAATCATAATCAGACCTTTACAAAAACTGGAAATATAAGATTAGGTGGTTTAAAACTGGAGGTAGGATTTCCATCTTTTTGATAATTTCCATTCAGCATATGGATCTATCCATTGGTATAATTAATATTTTGGGATAAAAATACAATAGGCTATTATTAATTTAAATGGATGCTTAATATAATAACAGTACTACCACTTAATAAATAAAGTCTCACATTTTATGCTTATTCACATTTAAAAAAAAAAATAATAATAATATAAATTTTATATAAAAATGTTTTTAAAAAATTTATGAAATTAAATTTTGAAATAAATTTTTTGGGTATTAAAAATGAATTACAAATAAAAATTTTATTCAAAATTTTATAATTCTATAAATTTTAATTCAATAAATTTAAAAAATTTTAATTTAATATATAGATTTTTTTCTTTTTAAAAATTTTTATAATAAGTTTTAATTTGTAAATTTTTGAATTTTTGAATTTTTAAGTTTTTTTTTTATATCAAAAATAAAAAATAAAATTTTATAAATTCATAAATTTAAATAAAATAAACTTAAAAATTAATTAATACTAAATATAATATTATACGTATATTCTTAATAAAAAATTTTTTTAATATTTTAATTTACACAATTAATAAAATTTTAAAATTTTAAAAAAAAATTTCAAAAAGTACTGTAAATTACTAAATAAATTAACTTTTGATGTTTTTTTTTTGAAAGAAAAAACTTAAGATTAATAATATAATGTGTTAATCGTTTCTTACATAAAATTCATAAACAATTTTTTTAAAATATTTAATTTTAATTAAAATTTGTTAACTTTGTTACAATTATCTATTTAATATATTTTTTGTTAATAGAAAGTTTTTTAAAAATAACATAAGAGATCTTTTTTGCCAGTAACAGGTTATTTAAAATTATATAGATATATTTATCAAAAGGTCATAATTGTTTCGATTGTTATATTTGCAATTTTATTAATTCAATTTAAATAAAATATTTTATATAGTCCTAAATTATGATTGTTTTTTGTTTAGGTATTAATTCTTTATTGATAGGCATTAGTGGTTATATAAAAGTAAATATAAATTTTATATTTATTAATATACTCTTTTAATTAAATATAATTTATTAATTAAAAAAAGAAAAAAATATCCATAAACTTTGTTTATCTTTTATATTTAATTCATAGTTAACGTACTACGGAGATTCACAATCGCGGACAACATCATCAAGGCCTTCCAATTTACTATTACTATTACTTTTCAATTTATATATATATTTTTTTGGTCGTTCTTTCAATTTTTTCTTATCGACTGTGACTTCATCTTGAACTTTGATTGATTTTCCTACTCGCGTATTGTCTTCCACTACAAGTTTTGTATCTTCACCATATTTAATAAGTAAATAAATTCTTAGAAATTGTGAGTCCCCAACAAAATCATCCCAATGAACATCATCACAAATGTTGTAAATAATAACCACTATCAAAGATTTGTAACCTGGTTCTATCATCATATTATTGTAGTAAAAATAAGCATCTTTTAAATAATTTAAGATCCTAGAAATGTAAATTAAATTTGAGGCAAATATTAACTTTTTCAAATAATAATTGTTGTCCGAAAGTAATGCCATATTTAACATCTGAATAAAAGGAACATAAAGAATGAGAAAAGAAACAGCAAAGTGTTCGTACAAAACTGAATATATTTTGAATTTAATAGATAATTCGTACATATTAAAATATAGTTTGGATTTAGTAATAGATGTTAATCCCCCAAGTACAGGATCGACTAATAGACAAAAACCAGTTATAATTCCGCTAACTGCATGTAAATATACAAATATTTTTGACTCATTTGTATCAATTGCACGAGAATAAAATAAGAAACAGAGGTCCGAAACTGTATGAGCAACAAGAGTTGTCACAAAACATTGATAACATTTAAATGTGTCAATTTTAACAAATCTTATCCGGACTATAGTGATCACAACAACGAATGTTGTAATACTATAAAGTATTATGACCCACATTGGCGTATTTTGTGTTTCTCTGCTTTTTACCATAACAAAAATTTGTAGAATATAGAGAGTCAACAAAAACAATGTGTCATCAAAAAAAAGTTTAACTTTGAACCAATGTACATTGTTTATATTATCGATGTTTATATCGAATAATGAGACAATCATTAGAGGAACAATCACGCTAATGAACTGATCGAACAAGTCAGGAATCGAATCATTATTATCCGCGTAAACCGAAATGAAAAAGGAATTGAATATTGCAATGTAAAGATAAAATGTGTGAGGCATTATCGAAAATTTGAAAATTAAATAACAGACCGTTATCGTATTTATATATAAATTCGATTAAAATATAATTCTATTGTTAATTATTTAACGGTGTAACATGTACTACATTTTAACCGAAAATGCCATTGAAGTTGATGCAACTTGACAAATTTATAAGGAATATTTCTAAATCCTCTGTACTTCAATAAATATGCCACAGACACTATGCGTGCTCCATTGTTTTGACTATGACACAGCATACGGATTGTTGATCAACAGATTCAGATTATAGTAGTAGTATTGGTTACATCCTACAGTACAGTATTCATTTTTTTTTTTTTTTTGCAATACTTTAATTATTTAGGCTCATACAGTGTGATTTGAATATACTGTATCTTTTATTACAAACCGTAATAAACGTGTTTGTGACCCTCATTATTAAAGAAAAGGAACTAATTTTGGTGGAGTATTCCTGTTACGAAATTATCGTGAGAAGTTCACAAACGTGAAATAAAAGATTTAAGAAAAAATTTGAGCAGGAGTTCAAATGTGAGCCTAACAAATTGAATTAAAATCAACATATTTAGATTAATAAAATTTTCGATCTATTAAAGTCAACAATACCTTTTTATCATTATAAGCAGGATATCTAATATCTGTTAATAAATTATGAAAAAATTGCAGTAGATTGTCAATAGGAGGTTTTTAAATTATTTTCTTTGCGCTAAGTAGGGAACAGAATTCTGCACAAGATAAAACTTATCGAGACTAAACTTCAAAAGAAAAGAATGTCAAAGATTTTTAGACTTTAATAATATCGGAGAAAAGGAAATAATAATCAAGTTAAACATTTAATGTAGCGTGGGGTTGTAACGGCGAGTCTGTCGCTACGTCGCGATCGTCGATCGTGTAACGTCGAATAGAGGCGCGAGAGTGTTAGATAATGATCTGAATTGTAATTTTTAAAGGATAGCTTTATTGTTGCTTATTTCTCCAGTACATTTCTCTCTTTTATACATGTTAGAAAAATCCCCAAAATCCCAAAAATTCCTCAAGCCCTAATTAAACCCTAATTGAGTGCGGATGACATATGTCGAATCTATTTAATTTTTCAACCTCCCTTACAGTAGCATCGATTTTAAATTTATCCCTGGATGACGTTGATAATTTAATTACGGTAGCAAAATTCGGAAATGTAGATTATTTCAACTCTCGATACTGTACGTTCATACTATGCAGTATTTATAAACAATCTAATAATACTCCGTTATTAACCATTGTTATTTCAACCCATTTTCTCTCTAGAGCGTCAGGTAACATAATTTTATAACTTTCCGACGTATGCTATTTTGGACGAGATATCCTTTATTATTATTATTATTATATGGTCTGAACAAATTGAATTTTATATATTCACGGCTTATATACAGTATTATAGGTGGATCTTGAGTTCACTAAATAATGCATACACATGAAAGAGTAAATTTTATTAGATAATCTACAGTATCTGTCTTATACACTAACAATGTGTTGTTTATTAGACTGGATATCAATCATACTATAAATTTGTATGTACTTTACATGAAATTAACGAAATTGGCTTTTGTTAACTTTAATGTGCCTTATTTTTACTTATCACTTTCTTCTTTCCAGAACAGTAGCAAGATATTTGTTTGCTAATTAGGTGTATAATAATTATGAAAAGAAAAACATGTTTTAAAACACAAATTGATTGTAGCATCAAGAATACAATTGAGGTTAAAAAAATTGGAAAAATGCTAGGAGAGAAAAACAATTTTGTAAAGTAAGAACTGATATAAAGACAAAAAATTGTTATTGTATAATTTAAGATTTTAATTAATTATCTATTTTTTAAAAATTTAATTAAATTAAAATTCAAGCTCAAATTAAACTAATAAATTTAAAATAAACAAATTTTATATTTGTTTTTTTTATAAATTTTGCATTTTTTAATTTATAAATCAATATTAAATACAAAATACTTTATTATTATATTGCAATTAATTAATATTTCACTAGTTGAAATTCAATTATTCGGCATACAATAAATAATTCGTCAAGCATTTGTCAACAATTCAACAATCATTGCTGAATTGGATATGCTGAATTATTGCTAAATGTTTGATAAATACTTGATGAATTATTTATCGTATGCCAAATAATTGACAAGTGGCATACTGTCAAATAATCAGATTTCAACTAGTGTTTATCTCAAATATTTAACATTATACATGGAATTATTTACATATATTGAATTGTTTTTTGATTAATAGTATAATTTAATATATTGATCTTATAAATTATTATTAAGTAATAAGTCTATATGTCGGCAAACTCTGTTACACAACCCAAAGAGGTTAACTCTAAACTGATCTATCCCAATTTGGAGCTTGAGGATCTAGTCCTAGAGTGGTGTTCACATAAACTTAAATGGACTGAAAGGGCAAAAGGTTATCGGCCACAGGAGGTGACAATCCAGACAAAAATCATTAAGACCAAATAAGTCTGGTAAGGATCGTTAAGATTAAATCAGAATCCAAGCAAGGACGCCAGTTCCACAGGTGGTGAAAACGATAGTGCGACGATATGCTAGTGGCACATCCCGAGGGTCAGTGATAACAGTGACTGAAATACTGGGGTTGGTCTCTATAATAATATTCCATAATAACTTGCTCCCTGCAATAATAAACCAGCAGGTTTAGGAGAATTTAAACTAGTGGTAGGATTCCCTCCTCTGCGGAAGTTCCACCTGACGTGTAGGCACATCTTCGTAGTGTTTAAATAAACATATAAGTTGGGTAATAGTAGTTGGCGTAACTAATTTTATAGTAATATAGGTATTTAGGCAGTGTTAATCTGCAGATTAATTTGTAGAGACATAAAGGGTATCCATATACCAACTGATTTCTGGTTAATTTATAGAGACACTTGGTGTCTGTCTGGATATATAACATATCAATAAAGATCATACACCTTGCGTACGTTTCACTATAATAAAAAAAAAGTAATAAGTCTATATGTTAGAAAAACTTTATTTAAAATAATTTTAAATCATCTAATATAAAGTTTGATTTCAGTTTACTTGTAAAAAATCCTATTATCTTGCAAAACCAATTCAAAAATACTTTAATACTTTAAAATAATAATAATTTTTTTTACTACAGTTAATTTTATTTTTAGCAAGTTTGTTACTAATTTGAAATTAACTCTTATATAATAATAAGTTAAAAAATAATTCTTCTCTTTTTAAAAATATATTATAATACTAATAGTGATCTTAGCAACCTACGGTATATATTTTTTTCTGTTAAAAATATTATTTTTAATTTTTATTAATATAATAAAAATTTTTTTAAATATTAAGTAAGATCTTTCTCATGTTTTTATTGATTAAAACATAATAAATAGAACATATTATATATAAAATCAATAAAGTAAAAATATATAATAATATATATTGACCTATTACTATAAGCAAATATATTATTAAAAAAACTTTTAAATAAAAAAAACCTGAGAAACTATCTATTACAAAAAATATAAAAATATAAAATATTTTGACAAGATTATCAATTATAAAAAGAATAATATAAGTTTTATTAAGAAGGGAAAGATATTAAAGGTATATATAATAGTCTATATACTATTCAAATATAAGAGAAACATACAGTATATTTATTATTTTATTAATAAGAAAAATATTGAAATAATAATATACAGTGATCTTCAAATTATTTTAAAATTATTTAAAAATTTTTATAAATTCCAATTCTTATTATTTTATTTTCAAAATTTCAAATCAGATTCTTAATATTATTCTATTTAATTATAAGTTATTTAATAATTTATTTGTTCTCCATTTTTTTCTATAATTTCCCTACATCTATTTCTCATAGAAAATACTAGATTTTTTATATTTTCTTCAGGTATTTCTTCCTATTCTTCTATCATAAGTTTCTCTAGATCTGTCAAATTCCTTGGTTTTCTCAATTCCACATTTCTTTTGACCATGTTCCACATATTTTCTATCGGATTTAGATCTGGGCTGTTTGATGGCCATTCTATACATCCAGTGATCTTTTCTTGTATAAATTTTTTAATTCTTTTTATTTCTTTTAAATGTTCCTTTAAGATGTTAACATATAATGTTGCATCCATTTTTTCAGTAAAGCAATGAAGTCTTGTTCTTCCTTTCATAGAAATTCCTCCCCAAGTATGGATCTTTTTTCTTTCTTTAGGTATCGGGCAAATTGGTCGTTCTCCTTTGTACCATCGTGTAACTGTATTTCGAAACATTTGGAATGAAGTTTCATCTGTAAATA